GCAATAACACTTCTGAGTGTCACTTCCAAAATATTGTTACAGATATTGTTGAACAGATTTAAGTCGAAACTAGACACAAAACCAAGAAATAATCAAGCGGGCTTTTGTGCAAAACGATCCACTACCGATATCATTTGTAAAATTAATAAAGTTATCAACGAATAAGAGCGGCCTTACGCAAGGGTACGCCTTTCTCGGGACTTGTGAATGGATCATTGGAAAAGTAACTGATAATAAAGGGACATTAGATATAATTTACGCAACCTGTAGAAGGAGTTCGAAGATGACAGACAAAATTTTATATATCTTCTGAGTATAGCAGCCACATACAAAAAAGATCGACAAGTTTACACAATATTCTGATGTAATAGGCCCTACAATAAAAACAGACAAAACGAAACTTCTAAAAAACTTCAACCAGAAAACTAAAATGGAAATAAATGGAAGGGGAATGGAAGAAGTAGACATATTTGCATGAATGAACATGAAAAAAAGGCGGATGCTGATCAGATATAAAGAAAGGGTGAAAAAAAAAGAAGAGCAATCGTAAAACATTTTGCAAAAAATATGGAACCCATGCAGTATTTCAGAATCAAGAAAAATTAAAATATTTAACAGTTGCATTAAGTGTATTCTCCTATAGAGAAATAAACATGAAGAGACAACCAAAAAAATATTGTAAACATTTGTTGATACCCTACTAGGAAAAATCTTGTCTTTACTTCACTGTGAGTAATCTTGTTCTTCTATGTTCGTTGGTTCAGACCCTGGCCAAAAAAACAAAAAGGCTGACTTAGTAATGTAAAAGTCAAATGGATCTGCTACTTAAACTAGAACGCGCTAGCATATCGGATCGATCTATGGATGAGCAATAGGAAAAGAAACCGGAACTTGCGTCTTGGTATTACTCACACCATAGATCCATATCGGAAAAGCGAGTACGCTTAAAAAAGGGATTATATAGAGAGAAAAATCTTAAACATAGGCTCGCTTGAGAAAATACATACACTAAAAATTGATCATATTAACGTAGCCATGCAGGCAGTCGAGTACCGACTTGGTTGAAAAAGTAGAAGTCTGGCACAGAGCCACTAGAACAAAACACCACAAATAATGAGATTTCATTAAGAGAAACTTCTGCGTAACTGAACTAAGGTAAAGTCACCTAATACCGACCCATACAAAAATAACACCTATTACCGATCCAAATGATTAATACGAAATATTAAGCTTTGTGGATGAAAGGAACGTTGTATTGTCACAATTTCAGTCTACTCGCTAAAATCACGTGAATAATTTATTAGTGTCTAGAACGAAAGTACCCGAATTGATGCCATTCGAATTAGTTTATGGTCAGATTTCGTAGAGTGTAGGTTATGTGCGCTTGTGATTCATTAAAGGGGTAAGTACACAAATAAAGAAATTAAGCATAAAATTCAAGTAGATATTTTTATATATTTATTATAAAGTTTGAAGACATTTCTATACATGTTGTCTATACTATAATGTAGTAATTTTTCGAAGATTTGCAGTATTTAATGAAAAAATCGTAAAAATATATTGAGTCGGTAATAGGTATAGATATTTCTAATACCGACCCAAGGTCGGTATTAGGTTTGAAAACCTTTATTTTATTAATCTATTATTTTGCTTTGCCATGTAGTTGCACCGTGATTGTTCATTTCTTAAGTACATATACTATTAAGTCGACGTTTTTTTCAATTTTCGACCCATGATTTATGTTATGAGTAACCTAATATTCTAAAAATTTCTTTGTCTGGAGCGACAAACATGTTAATATTTTAATAAGTCCAAACCCCTGGATAATGTAGTTAATATAGATATTATTTTTGGTATATTTAATTATGGTAATTGTAAAAATCTTTAATTAACAAGAAGAAGGCGTTTCAGTCATTTGTCTCAAGTTTTACACAGTCGGTATTAGGATAAGTGCGACCATATTGAAATCAATTTACCGACCTATTGGGTCGATAATAGCAAATGCCATTAGCCTAATACCGACGCATTAAAAAAGGTGTTCGTTATTAAGTCAGACATTGCACTCATTAAAACCGTCTGATATTTTTAATTAATTATATATTTCTTTTCAGGCATTATGGCACCAAAAATACGTGTACAATATTCAAAAGAAAAATTGTCTAGCGCCTTGGAAGCAATAAAAAATGGGATGTCAGTTTACGAGGCATCTAAAAGATTAGGATTGCCAAAGACCACTTTACGGGATAAACGTTCAGGAAGATTTAAAAATCCCAAGTGTGGAGTGCAACCTGTGCTTGCTGCCAATGAAGAAAAGTGTGTTGTGGATTGGATTCTTTATTTGGCGCAACAAGGGTTCCCTGTCACAAAATCCCAATTAATACACACAGTAGCTAATTTAATTAAAAACTTGGACCGACAAAATCCATTTAAAGATGGTATTCCGGGAAATCACTGGTTTCAAAAATTCATGGAAAGACATCCTGAAGTTAGTACAAGAGTGTCCCAAAATCTTACCGCAAGTAGGAGTAATTTCAGTGAGCAAAGTATTAGAGAGTGGTTCAGAAAGGTTGGGAATTATTTCACGAGCAACAATCTTATGAATATTTTTGAGGATGGATCCCGAATATTTAACTGCGATGAGACAGCTTTCTTTTTATGTCCCAAGGAGAAGCAAGTCTTAGCAAGAAGAGAAACAAATCTGGTGTATAATAGAATAGCTAATGATGAAAAAGAGTGTTTGACAGTATTGGCTAATGTATCAACAAATGGTTCACTTGCTCCACCAATGATATTATTCCCATATAAAAGACTTCCGAAGCATATTCCAAAAACTGTGCCACAAGTTTGGGGTTTAGGGTATACAGAAAGCGGCTGGATGAGTATGAAAGCTTTTTATGAATATATTGCGAATTGTTTTTATCCATGGCTCGAAAAACATAGAGTGCAGCTTCCGATTGTCTAGCGCTAAGTGAATTTTGCAAGGGAAAGGTATAATATTGGTGGCATTATTGCCAAATTCGACCCACGTTCTGCATCCTCTAGACGTAGCTGTATTTAGACCGGTGAAAGCAACATGGCGAAACGTGGTACATGATTTCAGGCTTAATCATGAAATGGCCAAAATTAAACGAACAGACTTCTCAGGTTTAGTTAAGATTTGTTTCGACAAATGTTTAAAAGAAGATACAATAAAAAATGGATTTAAATGTTGTGGACTCTTTTCATTTAATTCATCAAAGGTTCAATACAACAAACTTTTCAAGACCAAAACCAATATAGCAGAACATTCAACAGGGACTTTCGAAATTTCTAACAAAGATCAAAATAATCAAGAAACTCAAGAATATAAACAATTCAAACAGCAATTCGAAAATCGTTTGGGCCCTGAAACACTTTGTTTTTTCAAATCATCTGGCAGCTCTTGGTAAGGAGACTCTACTTTCGAAAAATTATTTGTGTATTGGAAATCTCTAGATGATAAAAATTTAGATGCAGACCTGGATAACAGAAATGAAGACTTACAAATTACTCTAAATGACACAACATTCATCAATAATATTTCCAGTATTGCGCACTTTAATGAAGATAACTGGGATGTTCTTGACTTCGAAGTCCAGGAAAATGGGAATCTCGCTATGTGTAGGTTCAATTCCTCCACTAGTGATGATTCACAGGAACTAGTCTCAGACAAAACGAATAAGATTGTTATGGAAATTCACCCTGTTGTTAACACTAATAATTTAGAACATGGTGATAATTTTGATGTGAATGAATGTAAAGATTACGATAGTATAGCAAAAACGCCTCAAAAGCTTGTTACACGCTCTGAGACTAACTTTGAAACGACAGATTTAAAACTGGTGCTAGAAAGTCCCCAGAGAACACAAAATGACATTTTTGAACAACTAAGCAAAGGAGATACTGAACAATTACCTTCAAATACACACGTATCTGCTCTACAGCACACGGAAAACCAACAACAACCAGAACAACAAAATTATAAAGACAACGGCATTAATGCAAACTCCACAGACATTTTTTTTAGTTTAATTTCATATATTTTATTTGTTTTACTTAATATAATAAACACTTTTTTATAGTCAGGGGTGTTTTACTAAATATAGACAATGTTGATAACATCTGTTATCCCACAATCGGTAATAGGTTATAAAAAATCGGTAATAGGAAAAAATATTACTATTAGGTCGGTATTAGGAAAATTTGCTCTATTTTGATTTAGTATTTTTTATTAGCAATAGAAATTGAAATTTGGAAAAATAATTTAATTATTTGGAAACGTAATATAGTTATCTTCACATAAATTATACGAGATTTTTGTAACCATAAAAATATAAAAGTAATCCAACGAAATATTGAACTTTCCTTAACTGGTGCGGTAATAGGTGACTACCTAAGTACATTTACTAGTTTTTCATGCAATTCAGTAACGTAATCTTTAAAAGTGGCGTTTATACATTCATAATTTATCCCAAAATTTATTATTAAATTTAGATCGCGGGTTCTGTTCCCTAATTTTATAAGGAATAATAATTTGAAAGTAGGATGTAGGATGGAACTTCTTGTATTTGGAATTTACTGTTAACACTAAACATTAAATAATTATTTTCCCTAAAACTTATTGATAAACAGTATCTGTTTTAAATTCCCGTTATTCGATAGTATTCATAATTAGTATTGTGTTAATTTTCTATGGTGAGTATAAAATAACGATCACAATTAGATTCGCTTTCATGTACGCTTAGAGGTAACCAATGGGGGATAATTTATTGGGCCAATGAAAATTATGATAAATAATTATGTGATTGTTATGACATTTAATAAACAAACAAAAAAAGTATGATTACTATATTACAACACAACTGATTTAACGTGTATTTACAAAACTAAATGTTACAATATTTTTATATTTTATGTATACGAGTTCTACTCTATAAAGAAGAACGTTTAGTCATTATTATACTAATATTATAGTTATATTTTTGCCCATGTTTGCGTTATTTCAACTACTAGGGGTGTCTAGTTATCGAAATTTACAGCTTCAACATCAATAGGACTACAGTTGCTCGCAGTGCTTTCGATGTCTTCTGATATTGCGTCTGTATTTTTGTGACTATTGTCCGCTATTTCTTCAGCATGGCACAATTTTCTGTGCTTATGTACAAAGTAATAACTGGGAAATTTACTTCCACAAGTTTTACATGGATAATATTGGACATTCATATCAAGCAATTTTACTTCTCTTTTAGTTTCTTTTTGAGTCACTTTATTTCCTACATTTATTGGATTTAAATGCCTTCTTGCATGTTTTTGATAACAGTATTGAGACTTAAAAGTATGATTGCAATATATACAAGTAAAAACTTCATTACTCTGGTTTTCCGTCTCATTATCAACATGGTCTTGTATATTTTTGTTCATTACTTTATTTAAAACTTCGTTCTGATTAATCTCTGAAATATTAAATGCTTCCTCAGGAACGATTACTCCATAATTTTTGTTGATAACCCTGTGGAATTTTACTGGTCCATCACAACAAGCTATATCAATAACAATTTTTTCATTTGATACTTCTTGACATTTTTTATTTTTTTGTTTTTCCATGTAAATTCTATTTCCAGAATTGCCAGATTGAATCTCAAATTCAATTTCTGCGTCATCTTTTTTTAAAACTGAAGTTTTTTCTGACCCTTCATATTTTGATATAACTTTTTTAAACGGAGTATCCTCCGATTTATTTAATGCGCTGTATACAGGCGCATATATTTCTTGACTGGGTAATACTGCTTTTCTGCTAGGAATAGGTTTAACGATGTTGGTTCGGATTTCTGGTGGTTGAATTTGTAATAAGAATGATCTGCATAGATCCAATGCTCTGGGCATGTGTAGAATATGAGTGGCTAGAATAATGTTGTAGATATTATTTACATTAACATCCAAATAACCGGTGTACATAAATGTTAACAAAGCTGAAAATTCTTCTACGTTTACATTTGGAACCATTATTGGCGTAGATCCTAAAAAAGATTTATTTTTAAAACTTGTTTTGACATGATATCAAGATATAAAATTAAAATAAAAATGTATCTATATATTTTTTCATAATTTAAATTTAGCAAGCTTTTTTCGAAGAGAAACTTTAATTATACTGTGCCTTTTTGGTAAAAACAATAGATGTACTTGTTAATTTGTTGTTAATAACAATCCTGATGATACATGTTCTATTCTACTTAGGATCAGTTTTAAGATTAGTATTAGGATGTTTGTTAGTCCAGATCACTTTATTTGGTATTATTAAAAAACAAATGAAAAGAATAACTTATTTTGTAGGTAATTATAATATCATATGTCTAATATCTAACATATCGTATCATATGTTTGCAATATATAAGACTTAGCCTAAATTCATAATAACGTAGGTCCTAAAAGTTTTGGCACAAACTATTTATCGGATTTTTTTTATTGCAGAAATTTATTTAAATACTAACTAAGTAGTTGTCAGAAAATTGTAACTCAATACTTAACTAAACTATATTATCGAATTATGTGGTGTGGTCCATTTTGCTCTACCAGACGCAAATTTATTCAAATGTCTCTTATGAGGTCCTGAACAGAATTCAGATTAATTTGTCTCAGTTTTTCGTAAATTCACCGTCTTAATGGTTCTTCATAGACAAGTTCTTCACAAATAAACCAACTTTTGTTTCCAAAGACAACTTAATATTATTTCGTTTTTGATAATATTACAACAAAGGCATTGTGTGTCAAAACTTTTATGGATAAAAACGTTAATAAAAACGATGGTACTACTTTACTTTTTATTTTACTTCTTATTTTGGTTAGTATATACCAGTTTATATTCAGTATAAATTAAGCCAAAAATTGAAAATCCACAATCCAATATATAGTTTGATGTTGACGATAAACATTCTGCTTTGATTTTTCCTCCTTATTAACTGAACCTGTTTAAATAGAATATTACCAGCATAGATAATAAGAATTTATAGGTAAGGTATCGGTCGCTTCGTGAATAGAGGTGTAACGCCGGTGATAACTTTGAGTGGTCTGGTTATCTTTTTCTGTCTATCATACGCTCCTGATCTAGCAAACTAATATCGTAGACATAATAAGAATCTCCTTATAATGCGAAATAGCCGTTAAACATATAGTTCATGAGGTAGCGTTGTGTTTTCGTATGAATTTGATACGGAATAAATTTTATTTGTAGCAGTTGAATAATGTTCGATAGTCAGCAAAACTGGTGGACTACCCTAAATTTTATTATTTACCTTTATGTACTTTATATAACCTTTAGCGGGGAGTCAATGATAGTGTAAATTTAAAATAGTGAGTGAATTCTGCCGTTACGTTAGCCGCCATGTTATTTAAAGGAGAACTGTTATTGCAATATCTCCACCATTGTCAACTTTTCGACAAAAATGGTAAATACTGAAATTGTTGCAAATGCGATTTACAATTTCTTTTTTACAAATTTTTCGTGCGCGAGTTCAGGGGTATATTGGAAGAGGACTAGGTGTGCATAATTATTGAATTATCTCGTTTATTGTTAACTTTACGACATAATTGTACATAAACTAAAATGCATAGAATTATATTTTATCCAGTTTTGTTTTTTTACTAAAATAAATATTTGAAGTCGTACGTATGCGGTAAAGACGCAAGCGCAAGAGCTTGTGGGGATTGGTTTTATAGGAAGGTTTTATAGGAATTGGTTTTATTCAATATCTGGCTCACTTTCAACTTTTTGACTAAATAGTAAGGATTTCAATTGTTGTAAATGCGATTTTCTACAATTACTAATTTGCAAATTGTTTTCGTGCGGTCGATAACAATTTCCGATTAAAGGGGAAAAATATGACCAAGTATAATTAATAAATTTTCGTTTATTGTTAAATTCACGAAATATGTAATTATAATTTTTTTTGTGTTTAGCATCCCAATATATTTACAAGCTGTAATATAATTACAATAAGAAAATTGTATGACAATTTTTAACAATATAAATATGACTAAAAAAAAGGAGACAGTTATATATTATTTTATACAATTTTGATTTTTGTGTTACAATCAACATTTAAGGTCCTACGCCTATGGAAAGCCTAACGAGGCACAAGTGATTAACGGACCCGAGACGCTGATGTCATCAGCAGCAAATATTTTTTTTTTTGCAAAAAGTGAATGAAATCAAAATTGTATATAGTATAATTCTTTCCATTTTTGCTTATGTTCAATTACGTAGTACAGTTAATAAAAATAATAATAATAAACTTAAGATGGGGGCTAACGCAACTGCGGAATTCAGTCATGATTTTAAATTTATCCTGCCATTTATCCTCCCTAAAGGTTAGAATAATAAAATTTGGGGTAGCTCGCCATACAAGGTCAAATGCCATCACGACTGGACTATTGAGACATTTTTTTTATGTCTTTGAGATGACGTTACCTCTAACTTCACGGCAGTTGCGGTGACTGACGCCCAGCTTTTTCATTAGCGGATTAATACCTCTATCGAAGGTAGTCACTCCATCTATTGCGCGGTTGTCCGATACTTCCCCTGCCGATTATTGATTTATCTCTTGCTATTCTGACAACACGGGTCTCCCCCATTCTGTTTATGTGGTCATTCCATTCTTTATTTCTATTTAGTGTCAATTCGTTTATACACTGTACGTTACATTTTCTTCTAATGTCCACTTCACTTCTCCTTCGATCCCTTAGCGTATTTCCTGTAATTCTTTTCAGTAATCGTATCTCGGGCGTTTCCAGTAGCCTTTGTGTTGTGACTATGTCGATTCTTGTTTCTTAGGCATATGTTATTATTGGTCTTATACTGGCTTTATAAATTATTGACTTGATCTCAATGTTAATGAGTCTGTTTCACCATATGGTGTTATTAAGGCATCCTGCCAGTCTATTTGCTTTTTATACTTGATCTCTTAAAATAAAATTTATTGGGTATAAAATTCCTACGAAAACACATACTGTTATATCTATGAACAGAGTACAGCGGCATATGCGTAATGGGCAAGCGTTTCTAAAGACAAATAGATATTCTACCGATCGAGTGCTCTGCGTTACACTGTTTTGCTCACTATGCCTTGCCTATTCTTATGTTTAAAGTTACCAGTTAACACTTTGATTTGATTTGATTCAAATGGAGAAATACTTTTTTAGAATGAAACCATAATAAGAGTGTTACTCTAGTATCTAATTGTGATAATATAGAACCTCTCGCACAAGCTAGTAATTGGAATCACAACCTCAAAGGAAAACGTGCATTTCTTAACCGCAAGTATAGAATACATTTAGAGGAGGCATGCATCAACACTACTAATTTGTTGGAAAATATGCCGGTAAAATTAGATCTAAGAAGTGGCATTGGCGAATAGTCACACGCCTAATTGATATCATTAGTAAATTCTTGGCTTATCTAAAAACAAGTCAATAAGTCAAATATGACTTTATTAGATTTTCTTCGATCTGTAGCAGTTCTATACCTAAACTTAACTCTTAGAACAAGAAGTATAGTAGAAAGATCGAGAACTTCAACATCTAATGTATTTGCAGACATAAAATTCGATGGGAAGGATCATGGAGAAACGTGAAGAACAGACACGATGTGAAGGAGAAAATTGGAAAGCCAAACCACAACATATTGTGTATTGTGTATTGTGTAAAATGTACTGTAACGTGTAAAAATTGTTTTATATAATATCAGAAAACACAAACTTATTTTATTAAACGCCAATACAAATGTTAATTTCAAAACTGTTTTTAATTCATTCATACTGCAATTATCCCAACACCAATGCCCGGTGATCTATTTAAATGATGGATCAAAATTCAAAATCGCAAATATATAAAACAGTTTCATATAGATTTTCCTTGTTAAGAACAATATTACGTATGATTATGTAAAATTACGGATTATTTCATTTTGAAATTATGACGATATGTCACGTAAATGCAGATTTACCGGAGACTAAGGTTCTATTAGGGACTTTTTACTAATTTATTGGTAGAAAAAGTATACATTACCTTGTTGATTAACTATAGCTGCCTTGAAAAATCCACTGTGTGTTGTTAAAACTATTTTATGTGCTGAAAATTGAGTTAAGTGGGGGCCAACTTGAAGGTAAACGTCAGGAACTGGCGATAAATTTGCTGATGTTGATAAATTTAATGGTGATGTTGATGATATCGCCGGGGTCGTTTGAGAAATATTGCTGCATGATCCTAATGTCAACCATGCTTGATATAGAGAATACATAATAGTTTAACAAAACCTGAAATAAATTTAAAATTGCTATTAACAATAAAAAAGAATAAATAAGAATAACTATTTTAATTTATAAAAGATCTAACTGAGTTATTAACCTTTTTGAAATTAGGTTTCTAGTATTAACATTATCAGGTGGCACGCACGTCTTGTCAAACTATAAACTGAGAATATATAAATACAGAAAAGAAATAAAAATTAAATCTGAACGTATTTTTTTGCATATAGTATATATATATATATATATATATATAATATATATATAATATATATATATATATATATAATATATTATACTATAAGATTTACGCATTTTAACAAGAGCTTTGATACGGCCTGATGTATTGAAACGCCGAAAATATAAATAAATAAACGATGAAAGGAGAACAATTCGTCAAAACTTCCGTGTATGAATTAGTATCAATAGACTGTTGTAACGTTATTTCTATATTCCCTACGTCCTCAGACAGTCAGATAGATACAAACTTCTACACGGAAAGTCAGCGAATTGTTTCAGTTCCGAGATCAGTGTTTTTACTCGACTGTCTGAAGACGTCGGGAATACAGAAATAACGTTATAACGGTCTATTGATACCAATGCATACACGGAAGGTTTGTCGAATTGTTTTCCTTTTGCCATGTATCTATTTATATATTCGACGTTTCATTTATATATATATATATATAATATATATATATAATATATAATATATATATATATATACAATTTATTGTGTTGGAATATCGGGTATGCGGTCTGTTATTATTAAAAAAAACTCTTTTTTCTTTTAATCCTCTATATTTCGCTGATTTTTTGTCAGCTTCATCAGGAGACAACTAAAAATTTGAATAAAAGTTATATAAAAATCAGTTTGAATAAAAAGTGACTCACTTACAGATTTAGAGTGGAAAGTATTTAAACAAGTTGAACATAATTTGTTCAAAACAGTACTGACAGTTTTTGTTAAAAGTACCTAGGTCACTAGTAATTAAATGTAAAAATATAAAAACAGAGCAAACAAAAACAACGAAACAATTAAAACACAATAAAATTAATTGTTTCGTTGTTTTTGTTTGCTCTGTTTTTATATTTTTACATTTAATTACTAGTGACCTAGGTACTTTTAACAAAAACTGTCAGTACTGTTTTGAACAAATTATGTTCAACTTGTTTAAATACTTTCCACTCTAAATCTGTAAGTGAGTCACTTTTTATTCAAACTGATTTTTATATAACTTTTATTCAAATTTTTAGTTGTCTCCTGATGAAGCTGACAAAAAATCAGCGAAATATAGAGGATTAAAAGAAAAAAGAGTTTTTTTTAATAATAACAGACCGCATACCCGATATTCCAACACAATAAATTGTTTTTTACGTTTCGGTCGATAATCTTACCAGTTTTGCTATATATATATATATATATATATATATAATATATATATATAATATATATATATATATATATACAAACAAAACAACAAAATATATATATATATATATATATATATATATATATATATATATATATATATATGTTTATGACTGCCTAGTAAAAAAATGATTATATTATTTATTACTAAGTAGATTTATTTATATAAAATTAATGATATCTGAATTTAATTTGATCTAAATGATAAAATAACGAATATCATTTAGATCTGCATTTAGCATTCGTTGACTATGAGAAAGCTTTTGATAGTGTGGAAATGTGGGCAATAGAAAGAGCTATAAACAACTGTAGAATAGATTCCAGATACAGAATGCTAATACACAATATATATAAGAAAGCAACAATGACAGTACAATTGGAAGAAAACACAAAACCTATACCAATTAACAGAGGAGTGCGACAGGGCGATGTTATTTCTCCTAAATTATTTACATTAGCACTGGAAGATGTTTTCAAAACAATGGAATGGACAAACATGGGAATAAACATAAATGGAAAGAAACTAAACCATCTAAGATATGCAGACGATGTAGTAATAATAACATCAAGTTTTGAAGAACTACAAACTATGCTAACCGAACTAGCCAAGGAATCTGAACAAATAGGCCTAAAAATGAATCTTACCAAAACGAAAACAATGACAAACACACAAGATAATAGAAACGTAATACTAAATGGAATCACAATAGAAGCGGTTAATGATTATATATATTTGGGACAGATAATAAAAATAAATAAGGAAAACCAAACAGCGGAGGTAAAAAGAAGAGTCAGATTAGCCTGGGCAGGATTTGGGAAATTAAAATGGGTCCTAAAGAATAAGAAAATACAACAGTACTTAAAAACAAGAGTGTTTGACCAGTGCATACTCCCAATTCTCACATACGCATGCCAAACATGGACTCTGACCAAAGCAAACATGGATAAGATAGTGAAGACACAAAGAGCCATGGAGAGAGCAATGTTGGGAGTAAAATTAAAAGACAAGAAGCAAAACATCTGGATAAGAAACAAAACAAAAGTCAAAGACGCAGGTCAACATATAGCCAGGCTAAAATGGAGTTTCGCAGGTCATAACGCCAGACAAACAGACAATAGGTGGAACAACACGATACAACATTGGAGACCATGGACAGGAAAGAGAGCAAGAGGACGACCCCAGATGAGATGGGGAGATGACATTAGAAAGATAGGAGGAATACACTGGAAACAGAAAGCACAAAACAGAAGCGAATGGAGGAAACTGGGGGAAGCCTATGTTCAAAATTGGACGAATTAAAGGGCAAAAGAAGAAGAAGAAGAAGATCTGAATTTAATTTACTGTTGCCGAGATTGTGTTTGAAGCTATTACTTTTATATGTCTTATTAGATTTAATTTTTTATTATACCATTTTTGCATAATTTTGGTTGCATTTAAGCTCCAAAATACTCAAATATTTTTAGGTGGTCATTGTTTACCTCTGCATGTAGTTTCGAACAGATATTTTAGTTATGTTGTCAGAGATAACTCATAGTTAACTCACATTACTTATCATGATTAATAATTGCCTATGTGTTTGTTACTTTTGGAAGGATAATATGTACCAGCAGTAAATGTTATCTGTTTCATTTTTTTAATTCAGTTTTTGTTTTTTTGAATGTGTCCCACTTCCAGAAATAAGCGTTTTTATTCATTTCCTTCCTTCTGAAAACGGTTGTTTCAGAAAAATTAAAGCCATTGATATTGATGACATGATCCATTAATGCACTTATGATTTTTTTTGTGTTTATGCCACCTATGTCTGATATAATCCTACTGTGAAATGTTCTAGACCTTGATTATATTAGTTGTTATTAATATAAGAATGTATTAATTCTTACTAATATATATACAAAAAAATTAAATTATTAGAAGAATTTTGTTACCTAGCAACAACAACAAAATTAATTTAATTTAATAATGGTTTGTATCTTGAGAACAATTTCCGTTTCCGAAGAGGAAATTGAAACCTCAAAATAATGTAAAACTGTGGCTTATTCCCAATATATAAAAAGTAAACTCATATATATATATATATATTATATATATATATATATATATATATATATATATATATATATGAAGGTGTTGAAAATACACCAAAGTTTGTTTTAATTAAAAATATATGTGGAGGAACGGTAGATATAGAACTATTTTGTCAAAAATATGTGCTTGAAAGGATCTTCTATTAAAGGAAATAGATATCAGATATGGCATAATAAAAAAATATTTAGCTTTTTTAAGAAAACTTTGCGAGCATTGCATAGCGAAGTGTCGCCACGGCGGCAATTGGTATAACCCAACCCATTAGACGTGTCACATCAAAAAATAGCGTACCCACCAAAATATTCTTTTAAATCCGGTTTTATTTAGATAAGGAAAAAGTTTCTACATTAAAAATAATTAGCTTTGTTTTGATATTGAAAATACTAATTAAAGCTAATCCAAAGTATGAGCTTCATCTTGGTTTATTACAGAGCTTTATCAATTGTTCCCAGGGAAGGAAAAAAGAGAAGAAGAATACGGATATGAAGATCTTATTTGTCCTGTATGGGTTTTTTTTTATTTGTTCTGTATGCCAGATATATCACTTTCTCCCCATACAGAACAAATAAAAAAAACATTCAGGACAAATAAGAACATCATATTCGTATTCTTTTTCCTTTTTTTAACTAATATTCCAAATTGCTCCATTTTCCATTACATCTAATATTATAATTATTAATAATTAAAAATCCTTTTTATAAAAAAAGTTCGGTGTCTTTTCTTTTTCCAATTCACTCGATAATCGCACTTCACTGCATTCCAAGTAAACACATGTACGAAAGCAAGACACATGTGGAATTAAGACGTTCAAGAACTGAAAATATACTAGTGTGGTTTGAACTTTGAAAGATCTTTAACAAAACATCCTAATGAAGCCATCAGTCAAAATTAAAAAATCACCAAAAACTAAATAAATGAATAATAGTGCTTGAATACAATTTTTCTTGCGTTTTTTGTTTTTTTTTCTCGTTTAGTTAGTTACATTTTAATGTTAAGTTATCGTATAGTTTTCTAACATCATCATAAAACTACAAATTGTTTTTGAAGTATGAATCCTGTTGGTTTTTTACTTATATATATATATATATATATATATATATATATATATATATATATATATATATATATATATATATATATATATATATATTCTAAGATCATTTCTATTTGTAGAGAACTGAGGATGCTTTTAAAAAAATAATAAACCGCGAAACGTATTCTATTAAATAAATGAAGTACTGTAGTACAGTTAAGTAGATCGGTAAATTATTCGTCAATAATTTACCGATCAAACCTCTGCTGCTCAAACATTGAATATATATATATATATATATATATATATAATATATATATATATATATATATATATATATATATATATATATATATATGCAAGGCAACTGTATATATAATATAACCGCGTTGATTATTATTGCGCCGTACTACTTTCGAGACATCCACTTTGATGTTTGTAT